AGAATTGCTCCTTCTGCAAGCCATTCAAAAACTATGTACTTCTAATGCAGGTCGGAAAATATTTGTACAGTAGGATAAGCTTGCAAATCAGTAAGTTTTATTGGAGGTAACCATTTGGTTGCCATTATCTAAGAATTATTTTTCAAATGTGGATAGAGCGGATAAAAAGCTTTTTATAATCCCAGAAAAATCTTGATCGAATTTCAATTAAAAACTTTCACAAAAAAGGCGATAATAAATATTTGATCGATTATCGAGCTAAATAAAAAAGGATTGGACTACTTAAATGAGTATTATAGAATAATGGAAATTTGGAGTAGTATGTAGTTTTCCATTTCGCATTAAAAAACTTAAAATAAAGAATAAAATTTTTAAAAAATGTTACGTTCGTACAACCCGTGATAAAAATAAATTGCTATTTCTTTTTAAATACAACTGAAGCTTTTTCATAAACTCAAAAGTCTGAACTAAAAGTCAAAAGATTTGTTGACTGAGCGCGGAAAGAATGTAATAGCAACAAAATTACAAAATTGGCACAAAGAACAAATATACATAATTGAAAAAAGTATATATTTTATATAATTACGAGTGTATACTGTAAATATAAATACAAAATAATAACAAATAATAGTTAAACAGAACAACTAATTTACTTGAAAATTTTAATGAGAAATTTGGCTTTTTTTTAAATTTTGTTCTCTATTTTTTAATGCGGAAGGTAGCAACACGTATGCAGCTTTGATATGTTTTTCTCAGTTTTGATAGGTGGTAATTTTATATGAATTCCATGGTTGAAATTAACACAGGTCCACTAAAAAAGTTGTCTCGATTGGGTGTGTGACATATGTTTTTCGAATTTTCCAATGTACTTTTACCGCTGAAGATAAATCTATAGTCAAAATTGGAACACAAAAAATGGAAAAACATTTGAAAACTGGCACAATCTTCAAACTAGCATTTTTTCTGAATTAATGAATTATTATCCAGCGACTTTTCTTTTGTGGACCTGTGTAATTGTTCGCACACATTCGTACTTCCAAAAAAAATAATTTGATCTGTTTTTTTTTTCAAAAGCAAAAATTTCTCAGGGCTGACATGAGATTTATAAAAAATTGCGATTTTGCATGGTAAAAGGCGAAGAAAACATTTACATGAAAACATCTGTTTTGTTAGCTTTGAACATTTGGAATCACAATTAAAATTTGTTCATATTTTCTTTTTCTGAACACGAAATACTGCAATGGATATTGTTCTTTATTTCCAAAATAACGAAAGTACTTGTTCTTTCATATCCAAAAGCAATTGTAGTTTACCATATGGGTTGTATACTCCTTTAAGCATTGCATCACTATTGAGCTAACTTTGTTGGTATTGAAAAGCACATCGCCATATTCACGCTCTAAATTGTTAAGAAGTCTTTAAATTCACGATGATTTAAACCTCGCGACAAGCTTTCAATTTTTCTTGCAATATTGTTAAACTAATATTTAAATTAATATTTATTTTATCGGGAAATGCTATTTTTGTGAACAACAGTTCTTACCAGTATTTGACAGACAACAAAAATAGCAGTTACAGCCGTATTTGATAAAATATCTAGAAAAATAATTTGTAGTTGAGAAATGCTTGGAAAAAAAAACCTTCGGCGGGCCGCGGGTTGCTCATCCTTGATCTAAAGGATCTTGAGGCAGTGATTCGAAGCGTGCTATATGCATGCGTGTAATAATAGTTGTAAATTATGCGAAAATATCTATAGCAATTTTTATAGAAATACATGGATAATTTTTAGTTCATATTATTAATAGCATAATGTAAAAAATTAGAAATCAATTGAACTAATTACATTCAGTAATTTCATATATACACATCAACTCCTGTCCTTGACCACGTCATTGAGATCCATATGAGTGTCCTCGTCGCACAAAATCTCACTGAAAACTTAAAAACTTTTCAGAAAATTTCCATAGAAAAAGCGGGAATTTCACAAAAAGGATCAATTACTATAAATAATTGACAACTATATATACAAAGTTATGTATAAACTAAGATGACAATACTCATGAAATTGTTGTGCCAGTAGCCTAAAAAGGAATTTGATGAACTTATATTGAGGAAGCAAAAATAGAAGATTACACTGGTTTAATTGAAACCATTGCCATTGTGAACGTCGCTAATATAAAATTTTCAGTAAAATTATTTTGCGATTTTCGTTGCCAACCGATAACACTTCTTTAATTAGTTTATTATATAATAATGAATAACTCAGACTTGCGAGCGTTGATCAAAAAAGATCATTTACTAAAGGATAGATAATATACATAAAAATTGTCAATACACATGAAATTCAACGGTCACATAAAATTTGACAATTTTCAAACATAAAATTGGATTTTATGAATCGATAAAATTTTGTATAAAATCAAAGATCTTCACAGAATTTCAAACTGAAAAATTGAAAAAATCAAAAGTTTCGGTAGAATCTTCATAAAGCATATACAAACTTTTTAATTTACATGTACAACAACCTTTTACCTTTATTATCTTTTATAAGTGGTGAAAGCAGATTAATTAAAAGTGAGTTTTTTATAACAACATGTTTGTAATTTTAATGAAAATATATTTTATACGCGAATATTTTGTCCTCATTTCATTTATTCAAATTAATCAGGTTTATCTTCTCTATTTGGACTACTACGTTGAATTATTATTGACGTAGTATTTCATACAGATTTTTAAGAAAAATAGATAATTGAACATTTTGCAAAATAATTAATGATTAATTAATTAATACTTAAAATCTTCGACAAACTTGCGTTTTGCAGTAATGATAAATATATATTTAAGTAACGATTTTTCAAATACCTTTTCCAAATTAATGCAATAGATGATAAAATGTGTTAAATGAAAGTGTACACGTTTTATATATAAGCATAATAAAAGTGAATTATTAAAACCTAACCTCCAAAACACACAAGCCTCAAATAACATTTCTATCATAAGTGCAACCTCCAGACGTCTCTTTGATAACACATACATAAAGTTAGGTTTTATGTGTAAGTCATACTTTTTCAATAACATTTTTATAAATATTAAAGTCAGGCGATACTTCTGGAAATGTAACATTTCGCGTATTGTTAATTAGTATAATTAATTGATTATTACTAGCAGTAAGAATATAATCGCAGTATTAATAAGTACAACAATAAATAATATCTATGTAAAAATAATAAATAATTTATATTCATTCAACAAAATACAATATAACATAATATAGTATATACATATATAACTGCTTTTCATTGGTCTTGTATTCATTTTTTATCTTTGGTATAATAGGGAAAATTATGATTCGTAATTTTTTTATCCCTGGCCATCTCTTTCATCGTATTAGGAAGTCCATAAAGTAAATACAGTAATATACCTGATAAATTGGTAAAATAATTATATCTATGCAACATTATATATATATATATATATATATATACATAGATATATTTTGTGTATATAAATAATTTATACATGTACTGATATATATATATATATATATATATATATATATATTTATTTATATATTATATATATATATATATTATATATATATATTATAATTTTATGCATACATGCAATACCCATACATTTAATTATAGGTTAATTTTAATGTTAATATCATACAATAATAGATCTACACTTATGGTTACAATAACGATAAACAATTAATAAAATATGAAATGCAAATAAAATTTAAATTTTATAGTTGAATAAAATAGTACTCAATAATCATTTAATTTTACTAAAACAATGTTTTAAAAGAAAATTGATAATTAAAAGTTAGTCTATCATCTAATTGTCTGTCAATAGATTATTAAACTAAAGTGTGCATAAGAAGTTATTTAAAAAAAATCGATTCATGTAGTCATTATAAATCATTGTGAACAGAAAATAAAAACTTATTTTTTGCGATGTGCAATAGAACAATGTTTTATTTTAACTTTCCTGGTAAATTATAGTAATAGCAAAAAAATTGAATTTGAAAATTTAAAATTTTTAAAACTTAGTTTTTGGTACGGAAAGTACCAGCAATTTGCCTAAAGGCACGATGCCACGCACCACTTGTTATTATTTCAAATATGAAAATAACTAGTTTTTAAGAAACCAAAAAATAGTTTTTTGAATCATTCAAATCAGATGCTTAGTTCTCTCGAAAACTGCAATTTTTTGTACATTTAGCTCTGTATCTTCGCCTTCACATCTTCTCCCAATCATTACAAATTGAATATTTTTTTGATCATTCAAATCGGATACTCCGTCCTCTTAAAAACTCTATTTTTATTTTCTGCATTCTTTGCTCCGTATCTCCGTAACGGCTGGACCTGCCTTTCCCAAAAACTAATCAGCACATCTTCCTATCAATAGAAATCGAATAGTTTTCGAACCATTCAAATCGGTTGATCTGTGCGCCCGAAAACGTGAACGAAAAAATGCAGACACACAAAACACACACACATCAATTTTTTCTGAGGTATGACAAAATGTTTAGAAACCTCTAAAACGTGAACATATGCAAAAAATTTCATTTTCAATTTATTTGCGATTACTATAACTTAACCATCGGGAAGTTAAAAATTAGCATCTCAGTATGTCCTCACTATATATACTATTTTGTCAGTACTATATAGAAGAAATGGTTTTTGTAATTGGTTGTATTTTTACTTAATAAATATGTTATTTATAGTCCCTACATAATTAAAAAACTAAATTACAGGTAGTCAGTTAACCAAAGATGAGTGAAAACCATTGAGACTGGTTATGATATCATTAAATAAATATCATTGAAAAATAAATCACCATGTCATTTTGTTCCCATCTAGCAATTTCAAGCAATAAAAATTTTTGTTAAAAGTATTTTAAGCATGATAAAAAATTATAATATGAATAAGTTTACAATAACAAAAAAATATCAAATCAGCTCCCTAGATATTATGTTATTTTAAGTTGTGCAATATACGTTTAAAAAATTTACTAACAGCAATAATAAGTGATAGTATTTCATTTTACCATTTCCTAGAAATAGTTTGAAATAAATGCTGCGATCAAGAAAAACATTTTTATAATTTAGTAAATTATGCGTCATGCTCTTCATTATTATGTTCAGGCAGTATTGAGATTTGTTCACTTTGTTTTGGTTCTACTTGTGACAGTCTAAAAGCGAGAATAGAGTTTAGTTTGTCTCTAAGTTCTGCTCGCGACATGACATTGGCACCATCATTGATATTATTCTCTAGTTTATCGCTTTTTTCTTCCAATAAATTAGGAGGCATTGAATCATTTAATATTTCCGGCGATGAATAAGGTGTAACTGTTACTAATGCATAATTTTTGTTTGCAATTGCATTTGTTTCGGGTTGCCGCTTTCCTTGCAGTTCTAAAGTTTCTTGGTTGTTCAATAATTGTGTCTCATTTATATTTTTATGGAGTACATTCTCTGGTCTATGCCTCAGATTACTTTTTCTGTTCTCTAATTCTTCAAATAATGGGATCACTGAAATTCTTAGCTTATTTAAGTTAGCCGGTGTAGAGTTTATTTTTCTTAATATTTCTGGAGTAGGCATTTTTGGAGGACTGGGTATATTAAAAGGAGTGTTAGTACTTGTAGACAGATCAGTCGCATCAATTGAATCTTGAGCTATTTTGCTCAATTGACTATTTTGCTCAATTGGAACTGACTGAATAGACGGAATTCCTTCAATACTTTGACTTCCAATTCCATCTCCAAGAATTTTCTCTAATTTTTGGGCGAATAAGGAACTTCTAATTGACGCTGAGTCAGAATTTTTATCTCTGAGCTTTACAGAACTAGATCCTGTATTAGTTTTATCAATTTCGGGTTTATAACAATCATCACTTTGAGAATTCACCAGTCCTGCAGGATTAACTATTTGAATATTGTCATTACAGTGAGCTTTATCATCGTTGTCTTTGAATTCTTCATTTTTGATATCGATTTCATTTTTAGTTTCACAGGTATCGGGAAAATCTTTCAGCGCTCCGTCACGTAGTAAGCTAGATTCAGTGGAAGATATTGAACTACTTCTAATTGATTTAATGGATGAGTTATTGCTTTTTGAAGAGCTTTTTCGAAGTTCAGGAGACGATTTAAACGTGGAAGATTCGGTATCTTCATTTTGTAATATGTCATCAAAATAGGCCATAACAGTTTCCGAAGGTTCAAAAACTTGGTCAGATCTTTCATTTTTTAGTACATGTTTTTCATTTAGTGAATCAACATTTTGTTGAAGGTCTGGTGAATATTTTTCTTCTTTATCACAACTATTGTTTGTTAATGTTGTTGCTAAAGCTTTCGTGGGCATGACTAAGTCTGGTAAAACGACCAAAGATTCATGCATTGAAATGGGTGATTGCTTTACTTCCTCCATTGTTTCAATTTCAACACAATTTTCATAAGCATAATTTATATTATGGGGCAGCTCTACGCTGGGGATAGGATTATTTCTTATAGGTATCTTTGAACGAGGCGTTACGCTTCTCCAAGTGGTGTCATCATTTTTGCGTACACAATGTCTCGTCAGAACAAAAACTAAGAATCCTATAATAACATAAAATATTCCGATAATAACATGAAAACTTATTTAAGATGACTTGGACTTGAATTATGATAATGATATGAACAATTCCAAACGATTTAAAAAATGATATCATTAATTGTATTGCCTAGCATTCTTCAGATTATGAACCCATATAAAATATTAAAATTTTAATAAATAAATTGTATATATGAATTTGTATGATTCTTTCTATGAGACTACATATCTCAAGAAAATATACCCAAGCATTAGGCAAACATAGTTATTACAACCCATTTTAGAATATTTAGGTAATATTTTACTTATTTCATTAGATTAGATACACGATATAAAATTAAAAGAATGATATTTTTGATCTTCAAAATTGGTGCAATTATAGTCTTTATAAATTCACAAAATATTTACCTATTGTCATCCATATCCCAAATCGAATCCACGTGGCAGGGTCCAGCATTAGTATTAGTAAAATGTTCACAAAAATACTAATTGCAGGAACGTATGGAACGAGTGGTACCTAGTAATAAATATAATTTCAATAAGGAAGAAAATACAAAATTTTCAATAAATAGTATATTTCATTTTATATCTATTTTTGGGAAATAATTGAAAATTTTGTTTGGGGACTTAATAAGGTTATAATTTTGCTTGTTTCTGAGTTCTGCTGCAGTAGTATTCAAATATTTTCCTCGCTTATAGCGAAAAATAGTCAGAAAACATGAATTTAAAGATTAGAAATTTTGCTTTTTTAGTTTTAATTAATATCATTAATAATAATATAATCATTAACTAGTGGAGTGTATGGCATCGTGTTGCAAAGTTAAAATTAGTTGTTTAAAGTATATTAGAACTATAGTCAGAATTAAAAATAAAATCTGAATTATTTTTGATAAACAAAAAAATTTTTTTTTTGAAAAAAAAAAGTTGAAACAATTTTTTTTTCCAAAATTAATTATTTTGTTAAGACAAAGGGTTCTTTGAATCATTTAAATCGGATGCTTAGTTCTCTCAAAAACTGCCATTTTTTACACATTTAGCTCCGTATCTTCGAAATGACTGAGCCTGCCTTTGCCAAAAACACTTCTCCCAATCATTACCAATTGAATGTTTGTTAGATCATTCAAATCGGATGCTCCGTTCTCTCAAAAACTCGATTTCTATTTTCTGCACTCTTTGCTCTTAATCTCCGTAACTGCTAGACCTGCCTTTACCAAAAACTAATCAGCACATCTCCCTATCAATAGGAATCGAATACTTTTTGAACCATTCAAATCGGTTGATCCGTGCGCCCGAAAACATGACTCGAAATTTGTATCCATACATACACACACACACATCCATTTTTTCTGAGGTATGCCAAAATGTTCAGAAACCTTCAAAACATCGATAAATGTAAAAATTTTCAATTTCGATTTTTGGCCCATTACAATAACTTACCCTAGGGAAGTTAATAATTTTATACAATCTAGAGTTCCGCAGTACCTAGGTGTTAAAAATTTACGTTTGAATTAAATTAACAGTGAAACTACTTTAATTATTCTTTTGTATTGATAATAAAATTTTGATATAAAACAATTTCATAAAAATTATTATATTGATTCTCTTCAATTGCTATATTTTTCAAAAAAAAAAATCAAAATAATAAAAAATTCAACCTTTTGTGTGTGTGCGTTTGTGTATGTGTGTGCGGATTCATATTTTCGTCGACGATTTTACGAACACGAATCAACCAATTTGCATGATTTAAAAAACAATAGATTCTTACTGATAAGGAGACGTGTTGATTAGTTTTTGGCAGAAGCAGGCCTAGCCTTTCAGAGATACGGGGCAAAAAGTGCCAAAAATGGTATATCAGTTTTGGAGATAACGGAGCATCTGATTTAATACTTCAATCAATATTTTACTTGTATTGACGAAATGAAAAACTGGTCAAATTTTTGTCAAAGCAGGTCCAGCGTCTCCGGAGATCCAATAAAAATAATGTCAAAAATAAACATTACACATATGTACATCGTACTATAAGATATTTTATAAAGATTGTAATAATAATTACAAATTTTGTGTACATTTATATGGGTTTACACGTTAGACGACTACGCGACGCTTATGCGCTTTGACACCAAATCAGCTATGCAGCGCGATCGCTTAAAAAAATGTTCAAAGTTTTCATGAAAAATCAAAATACAAAAAAAATCAAAATAGAAATTTTTTTTTTCAAAAGTTATTTTCAAAAATTTTTAATTTTCTCAAAAATCTAATTTTTTCAAAGTTTACCAAAGTTTTTTTTAATAATTTAGTTTTTGGTACAGGGCGTTCCATCAATTTACCTTAAAGCACAACATATGCAGCACTAATTACATTTTTTATTAGTTAGCGGATCAATTTTCTGGAACAAACAATGTGTCCTGCTTATGTATACTCAACCCTCCGATAACGCAGTGAGTTTAATATGGAAACCATATAAAAACTCCGATTTAACGCGCACGATCCAGACTAATTCGTAGTGCGTTGTATGAAAACCGCGCTATAAAAAATTCATAATCAGTACAAATCACATCATTTGTACCGCGTTATTGATGACCAATAAATGCAAAAGATATGATAAACTCTAAATTGTTTAAATGAAATTGAAAAGTTCATATTGAAGAGCATAATCGGAGGGTTGGCTTTACTACTTTTGTAGTTTAAATTTAAAAATTAGCTTACACTGAATGTGTCTGGTTTGCCGCTACTGGGTTGCCGAGCCATGGCGTAGACGTTTAACACCAGAAGCAATGACAAGAAGGTACATAAGACGATTATCCATGGCTCCCATTTGCTTAGTGCCTTCTCGCCATAAACTAGACTTAAACCGAGAGCCAGACAAAGAATTCCTTAAAATAGAATGCAGAAAATGTTTATACAAATTAAAAGCGTAGACAATACAACGATTAAATAATAATTGTACGTTCAAAATTAGAATACGGTTCGATTATTTGGTATCCTCATCAAATTAACAACTCTGATGCGATAGAGAAGATTCAGCGAAAATTTCTGAAATACCTTTATTATAAAACATATAAAATTTACCCTGAACGAGGCTTTGACCACAACGCTTTACTAAAAGAATTTGGTATTCCTTCCCTTGCCTCACGTCGATTTATCTGTACAATTATGTTCTTATTTAAGCTTTGCAGTAATTCTATTGACTGTCCTCTTATTCTCAATCAACTATCCTTTAATGTTCCAAGGCTATCTTCGCGTTCACAATTATTTTTCAATTATCCTACCCCTAAATCTAATTCTCTCTTAAATTCGCCAATTTTACTTATGTCCTCTAACTTTAACTTAATTAATACTGAAATAGATATTCACAACACTTCACCTAATCAAATAATCTCCATCTGCACATATTAAACTTTTTATTTTCTTTTCAAATATCTCATTATTTTCTTATTCTGTTTATAAAAAATATTGTTACATTCTGCATTATATGTAATTTTATCTTAAGCATTTTATGTTACTAACTATATATTGTAATTTTGTATATATTTTAATTGTTATTCATTATGTAAAAATTGTATTTTTGAGTCCTCTTGGAGAAATCTGTGGGCTATACACTTAAATAAATAAATAAATAAATAAATAAAATAATAATCATAACTTTGCCATCCACATTACCATTGGTTGCCTTCCTTCATACAATACAACAACTTTAATATAGTGCAGATTCAACAAGTCATAATTCAACAAAACATAAATTTTAAAAATATTTGTACATGAGAAAATACGTACTTAATGTTTGGCAAGGAAAAGATTTTATATACAAATGCATTCTACATGCTACTCATGTTGATCTTGATTCTATATCCATATCATATCATTCATTGAGTAGATTTATATGTTACAATGTATTTTTTAAATCAATATAAATTAGATTCTGGTATAAAAAGTAAATAGAAAAATGATAAAATAAACAGAAAAATAAAGGTTAAAATACTTCAAATAATAATTTGAAACATAAATATATAAATGTGCAAAACACATATTTCAAATTTGATGAAATGGTCAGAGTTTGTATTAAGGTCTATTTTAATTATGGTTATTTCTCAGTAAGTTAATTATACCAAAAAAATACATAAACACATAATATACAATATATAATCGGGGATAATAATTTGAGATATGTCATCTGTCCGAAATATTACTTCTTTGATATAAATATTTACAATTTTAATCTTATATATTTTTATAAATAAGTTTTCTGAACAGAATAATTTATTAACTAATCATATATATTTATTATTAATAAAGTAGACAATATTTTTTTTTATAAAAATAATGTTTTTGCTAAAATCCATAACCGTAATCTAATATTCATTCTGGTAATAATATATGCATGTGTATGTGTGTAGTTATGCGGATATAATTCTCTGCCGACCTTTTTGAGAACATATAAAATTATCAGATATCTTATAGAGATTTGATTTAAGTACCAATTTTGTTACCATTCCGCATCAAGAAATCTTTAAAGCTAGCATATATAGTTCAAACAAATGTCTTCGACAATCTCAACATTTAAACCGACTTGTATTTGGGTATCAAAATTTAGAAAAAAAATCAAAATGTTCAAAAATCAAAAATTACAAAATGTCGGTCAAATTTCAGCTCGTCGCTCAAATTTCAGCTCGCCGCTCAATTCAAAAAATCTAATTTTTCCTTTCTAATCTTTTCGAAACTTTAAATTACAGTACAGAAAGTTCCAGCAACTTGTCTTGAGATATGACGCCATTAACCACTAATTTTCAATAGATGTCAGAAAAAATCATCGCAAACCTATTTACAGACAACAATGCGTAAAACTGATCTTATATATAAAATTCTTTACGAGTGTATAATTTGATACTTCTCCTAAACGGTTATTCGGATCTTGATAATTCTTCTTAGAGTTTGTCAAAGAAAGAAATTTGCCAAAGAAATTTTTAAGATTTAATGAACAATAAAATTATAGTAATTGTAGAAATAAATGGCAAAAATTACAAAAAAACGACTTATCATGGACGAATATTGAAAACATTTGAACTGTCATCTGCTAGAAATCTCAATTCACTTGAAATTTGAATTTAGCCGAAATTATGAACCTAGATAATATTAGAATACAATATACAAGAAAATGTAATTTCTACATTATTATTGCCGAAAAGCAGCTGAGTTGAATTGAAATTAAATTAAACTAATATAAGATACAGTCAACAGTATTTGTTTGGCAGATGAAACTATGTAATTCAGTTTAATAAATAACGCGATAAGTACAAAATTGCATATACATTTTTTACACTTATGCATGTCGCATTTTTGTTTACTTTATTAAATTATTTAGCAATATAAAAAATATTTCTACTTATCAAAAAAAAAATGATTCGTTCATGTGCCAAAAATTCATTTGTTTGGCATTGGATATGGAATATTTAGCAAGTTGATCTTAGATTAAAGAGTGCTCATAGAAACTATAAATCTATAGATTTTACAAATTAATTCATCTAAGATTTAAACATAAACAATAATGTTTATTAAATTAAGAAAAATTTAAAATGATTACATTATTAGTAAGATAAATGTACTTTAGAAATTATAATTGCAAAACAGCAACCAATATATCGTACGAGATTATGAAAATTATAGACTAAATTATTATTGTGGTAAAATTAAGTGTGTATATTGTTCTTTTACCGCAGATTCTATATTATTTTTTTCTGAATTTCTTATACTGCTTATGCTAAGACTAAAAATGAATCATAAAGGCAGGACATCAAATAGAATAGTAAAAAGTATAGGATAGAATATTAAAAAAATTGGAACTTTTGAATTGTAGACGTGGGACAGGACAATATCTATCGCATCATCTAGTTTTAATATAAAGACAAATTGTATTTTAACCCTTTTGACTCGGATACCGCCACTCCGGCGGAAAAATTCATACAAATCTCGGAATTCGCGAATGGAAAGTGTTAATTGAATGTATTAGCAAAAATTAATAATAATATTAGCCAATCGTTTCTCTAAAAACGATTGGCTACTGTAATCGTTATGGAAGATAATTCACAAAATATTTTTAACCTACTTACCGTATATGCAAATGAGCCAATGGAACACATATTGTGACAAAGACGTCGGGGTAGTCGAACCTTCTCTATTTATCACTTGCGACAATACATTCCGCAAATTGTGTTTAACAATTTTATTTTTCGAAACTAGAGCACTTCTTTCTTGAGGTGGTGTACTAGTGTAGTTATCGGAATCGGAAGCGTCATACCTGTAAATAAAAGCAAACCACTAGTTGTAAATGGCATTTTGTCATAAGGCAAGTTGCATGAATTTCCTGATATGTGTAAGTAATGGACTTAATTAGTAATAATTGAAATTTAGCTATTTAGATCAAACTTTCAAATTGAGTCAAAAATAGTTATGAAATATTATAAAAAGAGATCTTTTGTGTATAAACAATATTTTTTTTGTAAACTTCATCGACCTAGCTTGATGATTAATTTAAATTTTTTTTGAAGTTACTACAAAAATTAATGTGAAAACAAAATAGAAAATGTTTTTAAAAATCGATTTACTAATGTTTACTTTGACATAGACTGTTACGTGCTACAAGACGAGAAGAATCAAAAGCACTACTATTAGAAGTTTAAAATGGGATTTATAAGCCAGCTAGCTAAAATAAATTTACATGAAGTATACTAAATTAAAACAGTTGCCTTTTGAGAATATTTATCAAAAAGGTATTACAAAGAAGCAGGTACTATCAACATGCTATATTGACAATTATGTTATATAGCAAACCAAACTATAAAAAGTCATTCCATGCATTCTCACATGCTTTTTCTAAATTAACCTAAAAATAGGCATGGTTAGAACTCCAATGCTCACTCTTTACCGGGTTCATCTGATTCAACTTCAGAGTCTTCGACTTCTTCATGCTGATTCGCTTTATGATTGGATAACAGCATTTCACTTTCAGCTGCTGAATCTGATGCATGGTATACCTTAACTGGGTATTCATATCTATAAAATGAAAAAGCTTTGGACGAGCACATACATTGCAACATGACACTGAATGATAGATCCTAGAAACCAAAACCACATTTTTATATAATTAGTCATCTCCAATAATTTCATGAACTCGATTTATTCATTAATAGTGCAGTAAACGAAGCGTTTTGGGTTTGAATTTTTTTACTGTGCTCCGAATTGCATGAAATTTTGGAATTAGGTTCATATTACCCTCAAGTTTAAAAGTGAAAACAATTCGGGTTCCGCCACCACCCTGCGGCATATGGTTTAATGAGCCCCATTTCCCTCAGAATTTAAGTAATTCACATTCCATCTAGAATTTACTTCAATATAGACATCTTGATGGATTCTGGCAGATTCACTACTTTAGTACAAACTATTTTCAGAAAACTCACGATTTTATAAAAATATTTTTTTCCGATTTTTCTAAAAATCGAACTTATTTTCATTATATCTCAAAAAGAATAAAAGATACGTATAAAAACATATAGATAAAAAGCAAAGGGTTTCTGGCTTATTATTGTTTTTTATTATTTTTCTTTCACACAAAAATTGACAGAGTTCTGATTGTATAAAGAATGCGCTGACGCGCAATCAGAGTCACTCTCGAGCCATTTAACCGTTTGCTGTTTCAAAATGAGAGGAGTTACGAAAAAAAATTATGATAAAAAAAGTTGTAGCCCTTTTATTAACCTTTCAAATGGTATATTGCAAATTGTGATGAAGTCGAAATTAAAGGAGTTATGACCCGAAAACTAATCGCATTTTTGTCGAATTGTGTCCATATTTCGAACAGTGTATAAGTAAGCAGTATTTGGTGCCCAAAACTATTGTCTTATATATATTGTTGATGTTGGGGGGTTTCTCAACTCCTTTCGAAGTATTTCTCAACCCCTTTCGAAGTATTTTATACTTCGAGGAAAAATAAAAAAATTAAATGTATTCAGAAAACAAAAACCAATGGTAAACAAATATAAATTAAAAATAAAATTCTTCTTACTCCGTAATCAATAATAAACTAAAATATATTCTATATAAATTTTATATAAATGAAAAACAAAAATGAACACTAATTAATATTGTATGAAAATGTTATCTGTTTTGGAAGTCCAAGCCGCGGCAGCTATTTGGTTGGATCTGGAAACATCAGCGTAGTCGGTTGGATAGGTTGAAAAGAAATTCGAATACACTGACAAATAAAAATAACTGTTGACTTGACACACAATAGAAATTTAATCCACTGATAATATTGAACTGATAACAAACACTGAAAGGAACTGAATGTATTGATTGCAAGTAACTGAATGAATGAATTAAACCAAAATGAATGAAAGCCACGGAATAAATCGACTCGAACACTGAAAGTAACTGAACGAATGAAAGGCACGGAAAGAATAGACTTGAATGGTAAAACTATTGCCTGCATCGGCCTTTTTTATGAGTCAGAATTGCCCGATTGCCTAAATTTGAAACGTGTTGTCCAAGTAGAAAAACAAACCTTTTACAGGTCCGACAACCTACACAGGTGCGGCGCAAACATTTTCCCCCGACTAAAAGGTTAGCCTTTTATACTTCTGAAAATACTCGAAATTGGTACATAGTGAACCTCATGATTAGGAAGGATAGAATTGCCAAAATAAATTCAAACTTTCATTCAGAGTAGATCGGTTACGGAAGCCTGACCTCGCGCCAGGGTCCCGCTCTCGCGACCTACCACATTCACACAATCTAGATTGCGGAAGTTTTATTTTCGCGCCAGGGTCTAGATTTTTGGACATTTACAAGAATCTTCCAGAGACTATGAGGGATGTTCTCATCGCCCTGGAGATTGAAAATTTGGCAAAACTATATATAGAAGCAAATATATCATGAGATAGAAAAGTTTTTTTTTTTTTGAAATGAATAATTCAGATATAAACTATTGAATAGGTAGGGGGCATAGTTTGACAACAGGCCGCTTGATTAGGGTATTTCCCGTTTTTACCAATGCTACTCGAACCACTCCATCAGGGCCCGGAAAAACCTCTTCAACTCTTCCCAACCCCCAATGAAGCGGACGCGCATTCTCTTGTTTTACAACTACCAAATCACCCTTTTTAATAGGATTAGTGACTGTATTCCATTTCTGTCGGACCTGTAGCTCGGTTAGATATTCCACATTCCATCGCTTCCAGTAAGAAGCGACAATATGATCTAACAATTGTTTTCTTTTAGTCAAATTCAAGTTTTCATAGTCAACGGGCAAATCCGACAGAGGCTCTTGCATTAAGAAGTGCGCAGGCGTAAGAGGTTGAGGATCCGATGGATCATTGCTCAGCCAACATAACGGTCTTGAATTCAGTAAGGCTTCGATTTGATTGAGGACTGTATTAAACTCTTCGTAGGATAAAATTTGCAACCCTATAACTTTAAACAAATGGGTCTTCACTGATTTAATATTCGCCTCCCATATACCTCCAAAATGTGGGGCAAACGGTGGATTAAATTTCCATTCAATGTCATGTAAAACCAATAATTCATTGAAACGCTTTTTATACTCTTCGGAATTTAGGAGAAGGAATAAGGAATCAAGAGTATTTTTGGCTCCTATAAAATTGGTTCCACAATCGGAGTAAATACATTTAATAGGACCACGCCGGGCTAGGAATCGTTTCAAGCAATCTAAAAATGTATCGCTTGTTAAATCTGAAGCTAATTCGAGATGTATCGCCTTAGTGGCTAAACAGATGAACAAGCATATATAAGCCTTGTAGGTTCGAGCGCCTCGGTGACGACTCATGGAGATATTGAAGGGGCCTGCATAATCAATGCCGACGTTTAGGAAAGCTCTACTGGCTGTTATGCGCGGTACTGGTAAGTCGCCCATGAATGGAAAAATGGGTTTCGGATTCTGTCGAAAGCAAGTCATACACTTGTGAAGACGATTACGAATTATTGCACGAGCCGACAAGATCCAATATTTTTGCCTCAATAAAGATAATACTAAGTTTGATCCAGTATGTAAATTATTAATATGGTAGTAATCTATGAGACAATTTACTACTTGGTCTTTTTTTGGCAAAAGAAGTGGATTGTTATTAGTTGTTAATCCTAATCTACCTTTAACGCGTAAACAATTATTAGAATCCAAAACCAAATTTAGTCGGCAAAACTTTTCGAACAAGACTTTCCGTTCGTTAATAGTTTGAATTCTTCGGGAAAATGGTGTTCTTGGACTAATCGAATAATAATAACCTCGGCTTGTTTCAAATCTGAAGTCAAAAGTCGGTTTCGATTTGTTATAATTTTACAAAACTTCAATATATAAGCGAAAATTCTTACAAGTTTGCACCAATTAGAAAATTTTTGCGTTAATTCATATAAAGGATTGATCGGTGGTATGACACTCTTTACTATTAGAGCGTTAGCTTTTCTTTCTTGATCAATATCTCCGGAAGGTTCAACCGTTTTTGCAGGCCAAGTTGATATAGGACCATTCAACCAATCCGGCCCAAACAACCAATTCTTATGTTGGATAAAATCCTTAGGTCGAAGACCTCGAGAAACACAATCGGCTGCATTTTGATTAGAAGGAATGTGAAGCCATTGTGCATTAGGAATGAGATCCCGTATTTTTGTTACCCTATTGGCTACAAATGTTTTCCAACGAGTAGCCGGTCCTGCTAACCAGTGAAGGACAATCATAGAATCGGAAAAACAGTAAATAGAATCAAAATCTATACTATGTTGGTTATTCGTTAATATAAAATTCAGAAGTTTTGACAGTAAATGACAGGCACAAAGTTCAAGCCTGGCTAATGTTTGGTTTTTAATCGGTGTTACACGCGATTTTGAAATCAACAAGAAATTCGGATTGCCAAGAGATTTAATATAAACTACCGCTCCATACGCTTGCTCTGAACTATCCGCGAAACCAAATAATGAACATTTGTTTTGTTTTGATGTTTCGAGATAACGCGGAATCTGATAGTTATTAAGATGCTCTAATTCGGAATATACGGCTAACCATGATGTAATAATAAATGATGGTAATTCCTCATCCCAATCGATTTTTAATGTCCAAATTTTTTTCAATAATATTTTTATCTTAACAACTATCGGAGTTAGGAAACCCAGAGGATCCCAGATTCGCGCTATTACTGAAAGAAGTTGTCTCTTTGTCCATTTTCTCCACGTAAGCTTTATTTCGAATGAAAAATTATCTGATAAGGGATCCCATTTTAATCCCAATACCTT